TCTGTGCTTCAAACTGAACATTGGGGTGCTCTCGATGACCTTCAACTCATTTGGCATGTGGGTTCTGTAGTATTATCCTAAAAATGGATAGCACTTTCGCGGTACAGTTACTTATTAAGGAGGATTACGACACTAATGCGCATGTTGCCCTCGTTCATGAGATCAAACATTTGCTATTATAGAACTGACAAGTCATGATCTAATATGTGCATCGCGACAGAAATAGATGCACTGATTAGTTGGCAAATGTCGACTTTTCTTTACTGATGGGCCTCCATTCTCATGTTCAGGTGCTGAATGATCTCCAACAGCTCCTCACTTACGATATCATGGGTGTCTTTTGGCTCCGGATGTGCATAACGATTTGAAAAGAAAGAAGAAAGAAATAATGAAAAAAGGAATGAAAGAAAAAAAGATAAAAAGAAGAAAGGAAAAAAAAAAGAGAAAAAGAAGAAAAAAAAGAGAATGAAGAAAAATGGAAGTGTGGCGACCAAATCTGATGCTAGTGCCCCACATGTGGCAATGCGCGCTGATTCCATCATTAGGACATGGTGTTTACGGTGACACGAGTGTGATGGTGCATGGTGATGTGGCAACCAGGACTGCGTGTCCGAAGGTAAAATATATTCATCATTTTGCGTGTATAGTTTCTAAAATTATTTCTAAATTAATGTATGTTTTTTATTATAAACAAGAAAATCTATCCAAATAATATTCGAATTTCTGATAGTACCATAGACCAAGCTAAAAAAGATTCCCAAAACTTTCTCGATCACACTATAGGTAATAATTATGTGTATTCCGTGTGGATACGTAAATTATATATTTATGTAAATGTGTACATCTATAGTTCATTGTGCGAATGTTTAAATATATATGTACTGTAATATGAATATAATTAGTATGTCTAATTTGGTGAATTAGTATGTCTAATTTGGTGTGTATTTATATAGTGTATATATATCTACGTTGTTATGCATATGTGTGTATATATATATAAACATATGATAGATGATAACAAAATTGATAAGATTAGAACTGATAAAAATAAATGTGTGAATAACTATGTACATTATATATCGTGTGCGATTGTGTATACGTATTTAAGTATGAACGTGTGTGTATGTATCGGTAAGATTGTGTGTGTGTGTGTATGTGAATATAAATATATATTTTGTTTGAGACATATAGTGACGATACATATTTGTATTATAATATGTGTGTATATTAATATGTGTGTACAAATATTATGCGTGTGAAATGATAACCAATGTGTGTACGTATGAATTTGGATATATTACACTTGCTGTGTGATTTAGTACAGAGGTA